ACCTCAAATTTCCATATGCTGTAATTTGATTTAAAAAGGTGGTATAGGCCGGGCATGGTGGCTCATGCTTGTAATCCAAGCACTTTGGAGGCCAAGGTGGGTGGATCACCTGAGGTTGGGAGTTCAAGACCAGCCTGACCAACATGGTGAAACCCTGTCTTCATTAAAAATAATAATAATAATAAAAATTTTTAAAAAAGGTGGTATATTAACAGATCAATCCTAAATTCACAATAAGAGATATAATCAGACATCTATGCATCCAGATGTGTTACACAGGAAGTAAACAACATCACCTATCAAGCATTCTTGCCACTTGACAGAAATTCAAGGCTGAGAGAAATGTGAAAAAACAACAAAAGGATACATTCAGCAAAATCCAGAAGGTAGAAAATTTCTTAGGACAAACAAATTATAGGAAAAACGAAATACAGGTAAATTTGTAGACTAAAACAAACTGAAGGCTGTGAGCATGGTGGCTCACACCTGTAATCCCAGCACTTTGGGAGGCCGAGGTGGGCAGATCACCTGAGGTCAGGAGTTTAAGATCAGCCTGACCAACATGGTGAAACTTCGTCTCTACTAAAAACACAAAAATTAGCCAGGGATGGTAATACATGCCTATAATCCCAGCTACTTGGGAGGTTGAAGCAGAAGAATTGTTCCAAGCCAGGAGGTGGAGGTTGCAGTGAGCTGAGATGGCACCACTGCACTCCAGCCTGGGCAAGAGAGTAAGACCCTGTTTCAAAAAAAAAAGTAAGAGATGTATCATTCAAATGTAAAGTGTGGCTCTTCCTTATATCCTAATGCAAGATTAAACTAACCACAGGGTGGTGGTTCACACCTGTAATCCCAGTACTTTGGGAGGACAAGGCTGGTGGATCACTTGAGCCTAGAAGTTTGAGACCAGCCTGGGCAACACAGTGAGACTTTGTCTTTATAAAACATTAAAAAAAAAAAAAAAAAAAAAAAGCCAGGCATGGTGGTGCATACCTATAGCCCCAGCTACTCAGGAAGCTGAGGGAGGAAGACTTCTTGAGCCTGAAGTTTGAGGCTGCAGTGAACCACAATCACACCACTGCATTCCATTCTGGGTGACAGAGAAAGCCTGTCTCCAAAAACAAAAACAAAACCCAATCCCAAAACAAAACAAAAATCAACCATTTAAAAAAAAATGATGAGACAACGAGAGAAACTTGAATACTGACTCAATATTTGATAATATTAAAAAATTGTTAATTAATATGTTTTAGTACAATAGTAGTATGCTAATACTTTTTAACAAGTATCTTTCAAGTACATATATTAAAATAAGTAAAGAAAGGAGAAGAAAAACAAAACAAAACAAAACAAACAAACAAACAAAAACATAAAGATAAAATGCAATGACTTCTGGGATTTGTTTTACAGTAATTCCTGGGTGTGCAAGGTGGTTACAAATGAAACAAAATGCTAATAATTGAAGCTAAACTATGAGAACATGAGAGTTCATCAAATTATCCTCTCTACTGCTATAAACATTGAAACTTTTTAAAAGAAAATTTTTTTTTTTAAGTTTATGGCTATTGGCCAGGCACGGTGGCTCAAGCCTGTAATCTCAGCACTTTGGGAGGCCGAGGCCGGTGGATCACGAACGAGGTCAAGAGATTGAGACCTTCCTGGTCAACATGGTGAAACCCCGTCTCCACTAAAAATACAAAAAAATTAGGTGGGCATGGTGGTGCGTGCCTGTAATCCCAGCTACTCAGGAGGCTGAGGCAGGAGAATTGCCTGAACCCAGGAGGCGGAGGTTGCGGTGAGCCGAGATTGCGCCATTGCACTCCAGCCTGGGTAACAAGAGCGACACTCCGTCTCAAAAAAAAATAAAAATAAATAAAAAAGTTTATGGCTGTTATGTAAACCAATATAGAGAGTGACTATAATTAGCAGAAGGCAGAAAAAGTAACTTAAGACAGCTAAAACTTATCGTAGTAGAATAAGAGCAGTCTACATTTATTCGTTGTTGTTTTTCATATTTTTTCACAACTCAGTATAGACAGAATTTTTTTTTTTAAAAGGAGAAGGGGTCTCACCATGTTGCCCAGGCTGGATATAAACTCCTGAGCTCAATCAACCCTCCTGGCTCAGCATCTCAGAGAGAATTACAGGCATGAGCCACTGCGCTTGACTTACATTTAATAAATCAAAACTAGTACTGTAAATATATTACTTTGATTTATGAAATCACCTCTCAGAGGAAAGAGGTAAAAGAATTAAAAGCAGCTGCCTCTGGGGAATAGGCCTAGTTGTTAAGGGAATAGTGGGGCAGAAGATGGTGGTTTTTTCATTATAAGTTTTTCATAGTATTTGATTTTAAAACTCTTTATGTTTATTATCTACATTTAACATTTTTAAAACTAACTTAAAAATAAATGTGTATACTTTGCCCAAAAAATTGGTCCTATTTAGTCTATTTAGCACATATGCCTTGAATTTTATTTCAACTAATATTGATATTGCTAATTCTTGTTTCTTTTTATTTGCTTTCTCCTCAAAATACTTTGAATTTTTATTTTCAGCCTGTTTCATTTAAAAGGTATACCTCTTGAGACAAAATTAGATTCCCTTTTAACCCAACATTGAGAGTCATTTTTATAGTTTTGATTCAGTTATTATTCTCCACAATGCCATTACCTTCTCATAGAGTCTCCTTAGTTGTTTTGTCTTTTAAAAAATTCTGTTCCTGAGGCCAGGCATAGTGGCTCACACCTGTACTCCCAGAACTTCGGGAGGCTGAGGTGGGCAGATCACCTGAGGTCGAGAGTTCGAGACCAAACTGACCAACAAGGAGAAACCCCATCTCTACTAAAAATGCAAAATTGGCCAGGCGTAGTGGCATATGCCTATAATCCCAGTTACTTGGGAGGCTCAGGCAGGAGAATCGCTTGAACCGAGGAGGTGGAGGTTGCAGTGAGCCAAGATCACACCATTGCACTCCAAATTGGAAGGCAAGTTTATAAAGTCCCCATTGTGGTTACAAGCAGCTACTTCATCGACTAAGGGTCTGCTGGATAGAAGTGGTCATTGCTTTCTATCCAAAAAAGTCAGATGTAATCTGCAATTTTTAGTTCAGATAGAGAAGATGACAGATTACACCACGCTCTCACGAGTGCTTTTTCTTATATATTTAGAAATTTCTGATATAATTTACCATCCAAATGCCTCACCTAACTGTCATATTACATACTGGGAATTTTAGTGCAAACAAATATAAAAAGTAAAAACCTGATGGGACCAAAGAAACCAGCTGTGAAACTCTGGCTGGCTCAGATCATACCTTTGCAATTTAAGGGTAGTATTTATTTTTTGTTACTCCAGTGCTTCCCAGAACATAAGTAAACCATGGAAAACTGCTGGTGGAAAAGGAAAAAATATTGTATTTTAATAGTTGCATATTTATTAAATTAAATTTATTTATTTATTTGAGACAGATCTAGCTCTGTTGCCCAGGCTGGAGTGCAGTGGTGTGAGTGGCACCATCTCAGCTCACTGCAGCTTCTGTCTCCCAGGCTCAAGCAATCCTCCCACCTCCTGCCTCCTAAGTTGTTGGGACTACAGGTGTACACTACCATGCCTGTCTAATTTTTGTATATTTTCTGGGTATAGATATGGTTTTGCCATGTTCCCCAGGCTGGTCTCAAACTCCTGGGCTCAAGCAATCCACCCACTTCAGCCTCCCAAAATGTGCTGAGATTATAGGTGTGAGCCACCACACCTGGCCTGTTTGTTTGTTTGTTTGTTTGTTTATTTATTTATTTATTTAAGGCTAGTCAAGTGAAGCAGTGGCTGTATATTTATTTTTAAATGAATTCTAAAAAATACAGATTTTCCATTTACTGAAGTAATTTAAAATGTCCTTTTGAATAAAAAGAGAACTCAAAAGTAAGTAAAAATTTTTTCTATGTCCTAAGGGGACTTCTACAGTGCTCTGGTTCAGGAGTAGAATACCTCTGGCCTACGAATATAATCTCAGACTGCCGCCACTGATGATAAAGATAATAATAATTGCCTCCAGACTAGCGAACGTAGTCTTCCTTCATGTTTCTCATGTGCTGTCGTCAGGGTTGGTTTTAGATTTCATTGGTATTTAAGATAAAGTTGGAAGGGGGGATTTAGGTGGAGCAACCATGGTCTCTCTTCACTGCATCCAGATGCTAAACTCACCTCTTTCTGAGATTCTAACCAGAAAAGTTTAAATGTCCTCTGATAATAAATAACAAGTATTATGTATAAGGAACTATTGAGCACTGCTATAAGCAGTATAGTGAAATGGTTAAAAGAGATGGCTCTAAAGGCAGACTGCCTACATTCTAATCCCAGTCCAGTAACAACTTGCTAAATGACATTGGGGAAATCAATCTCTCAATACCTCAGTTTGTTTATCTATAAAATGGGGGTTCTGGCTGGGCACGGTGGCTCACGCCTGTAATCCTAACACTTTGGAAGGCCGAGGCAAGCATATCAGGAGTTCAAGACAAGGAGGCCAGAAGTTCAAGACCAGCCTGGCCAACATGGTAAAACCCCATCTCTAGAAAAATACAAAAATTAGCCAGGCATGATGGCAAGCACCTGTAATCCCAGCTACTTGGGAGGCTAAGACAGGAGAATTGCTTGAACCCAGGAGGTAGAGGTTGCAGTGAGCCAAGATCATGCCATTGCACTCCATGGCGACAGAGCAAGATGCCATCTCAAAATAAAGAAAATGAAATGGGGATTCTATAAAATTAGGATAGTAATGAACTCTGTTTTATAGGTGTTTGAGTTAAATGAGTTAATGTACTATAGCACTTCCATAATAATAATTGCTAACTGCTACTGAGTATTTTATATGTGTCTAGCACCATGAGGAATGCTTTATACATATCATAGTGAAAAGAAAGTTTTTCATATGTCCAAAATACAAATGAAACTGATTTTAAACATAAAAAATTATCCAATTATTTTCTGTAAATGAAACTTACTTTTGCTTTAAAACTGTTCTTAGAGCATCTTTCTGTCCCGTTGTATACTGAGAAATGAGGATGTCATTTTCTGCACAATCAAGACACAAAAATAGATATTAAATTCCTGAATATTTATTAAATTTGGTAAGTAACAAAAAAATCTTTTTTAACTAAAAGAATGTTTAGGAATTCAGCCATAGCATTTCACAATTGAAAAGGACAAGGAATAAATTAAGTGATTAAGTAATAATAGAACGGTCATAACCCCAAACTCACAGCCAACATCATACAATAGGCAAAAGTTGAACACATTCCTCCTAAGAACTAGAACAAGACAAGGATGTCCACTCTCACCACTCTTCAACATAGTAGTAGAAGTCCCAGTGAAAGCAAATGACAGACAAAGAAATAAAAGGCATCCAAACAGTAAAACAGGAAGTCCAGTTATCTCTGTTCACTGACGGCATGGTCCTATATCTAGAAAACCCTAAAGATTCCTCCAAAGTACCCCTAGATCTGATAAACAACTTAAGTTTCAGGATACTAAATCAATGTACAAAAACCAGTAGCATTTCTATATACTAAGGACATTCTAGCTGAGAATGAAATCAAGAACTCAATCCCATTTACAATAGCCACACCCAAAACATAAAATTCCTAGGAATACATTTAATCAAGGTAAAAGATCTCTACAGGGAGAACTACAAAACACTGATGAAAAAAATCACAGATGACACAAACAAACGGAAAATATTCCATGCTCATGAATTGGAAAAATCAATATCGTTAAATTGACCATACCGACCAAAGCCATCTACAAATCAATACAGTTCCTATCAAATTACCAAGATCATTTTTCACAGAATTAGAAAAAACTATTTTAAAATTCATGTGGGGTCAGACACAGTGGCTCACGCCTGTAATCCCAGCACTTTAGGAGGCCAAGGTGGGAGAATCATTTGAGGTCAGAAGTTTGAGACCAGCCTGGCCAAGATGGTGAAACATCTCTACAAAAAAATACAAAAATTAGCTAGGTGTGGTGGTGCGCACCTGTAATGCCAGCTACTCAGGAGGCTGAGGCAGGAGAACTGCTTGAACCTGGGAGCTGAAGATTGCAGTGAGTGGAGATCACACCACTGCACTCCAGCCTGGACAACAGAGGGAGACTCCATTTAAAGAAAAAAAAAAAAAGAATTTATAAACATATCTAATACTAAACCTATGCAATAGGTTAGTAATAAGAAGATAACCTTCACCATTACAAACCTTATTCTGGATTTTGTAGATTCTAGCAATAGCTTAATTTTGGAGGAAAAACTAATTTTAAATGAAAATAATAAATAAAAACTGTAAGACTATGTAATAAATGTTTAAAAATAAATTCTACCCTTAAGAAGAAAATTCTGACACATGCTACAACATGGATGAACCTTGAAGACATTATGCTAAGTGAAATAAGTCAGTCACAAAGGTCATATACTATATGATTCTACTTATACAAGGTACCTAGGATAGTCAAATTCATAGAGACAAAAAGTAGGATGCCCAGGGCTGAGGAGAGGAAAAATGAGCAATTAGTGTTTCATGGGTATAGGGTCAGGAAAGACGACAAAGCTCTAGATACGAAAGGTGATGAATGTACACCAATGTGAATGTACTTACTGTCACAGAACTGTACATTTTAAAATAACTAAAGTGGTAAAGTTTATGTTATGTATATTTTATTACAATAAAAAAATCAATTTTATTCTCTTACCTTTTTGTTTGTTGTTCTCTTCTATTTTATCCAAAGGCAACACTTGAACTCCAACATCTTTAGAAAAATTCTTTGGGATATGAAAGGAAGAGATAGGCTAAATAACTTCATGATTCATTATTTATCCAGAACCATTTACTAGCTATGTGAGTACTGTGTTCTGGGAGGGCAAGACTGTATATTTAATATTCTTCATTTCCATGACCAAGCAATGCTGATGTACCTTAAAGCTACTCAAAGGTTTGTTGAGCCAGGCGTTGGGGCTCAGGCCTATAATCCCAGCACATTGGGAGGCTGCGGCAGGCGGATCACAAGGTCAAGAGATCAAGACCATGGTGAAACCCCGTGTCTACTAAAAAATACAAAAATTAGCTGGGAGTGGTGTGGCGCATGCCTATGGTCCCAGCTACTCAGGAGGCTGAGGCAGGAGAATTGCTTGAACCCGGGAGGCGGAGGTTGCAGTGAGCCAAGATCATACGCCACTGCACTCCAGCCTGGCGCCTGGTGACAGAGCAAGAGTCTCTCAAAAAAAGAGAAAAATGTTTGTTGAATGAGTAATACACTATCAGACAAGCGAATGAATGAGTAAATGAACCAGCAAGCAAATGTGGCACTGAGATTCGGTCTCAAACCAGTTTGCCACTTCTAGCAACTCATTTCACATCTCGGTTGCTTCAGTGAAATGCGGAATTCTGACTCACTGTGAGTCGAATGGAGTAGAGAAGGAGGCACAACATCACGAAGATCACCCGTTTATAATAACGGTGTATTCAGACATTTGAGAAGTTTAGATATCATTAAAGAAGGCCTGCTTAAAAATAAAAAAGAAAACAACAACAACAAAAATAACACTCCAAAGTCCAGGCATTTACTTAGGGACCAAGTACAGCTTATAAATACATTTTATTGTGAGCTTTTGACAAAATTATCATGTAGTCTCAATTTAATTATTATTTACCAGCTTCAATTTTCAAATAGTATATTGTGAAACTCTCATTATACAGACTTATTAAATTGACAATATGTAAGTCAACACTATGATTAGCTGTCCAAATCTAATGAGATCTCATAACCAAAACATATTTATCAAATATTTTTAGCATTATAAAGTTAAGATATTAATTTCATGTTATTCTTAAAGAATCTTCCTTCTAAAAAAAACCAAAAGACCTCATAAGTGTTAGAAAGACATATAAGCACATTTCACTTCTAAAAAAAAATTGTACTGTTAGTCATTCCTTTTCTTTTATCGAAGAATACGTTAAGTCTCTGGGCAAGAACACCTTTTCCCTGAATAGTAGGAGAGCTTCTTTTCAGTTATCATATCTCTTTCAGCAGCCATTATCTTACTAATGAGTATTTTTTATTCTAGGGAAGGCCTTTTGTTTAATGTCTCAAACACCATTCAAAGTCAGAATTGTAGTATATAAAACATTTGTTTTGGTAAGTGATATTTAAATAAAAACAAGGCATGTTGCTAATCAAACATAATTTAAGAATATATTATTTGACAATACTGAAAATTTGTATGTGAGCATAATTAAGAATCCTTTTGCTTACACTTTCTGACACCATGGGATATTCTAATAGAGACTGGTGACAATTTCCAGCAGAAGTTAAATCTGATGAACCTAACAAAACAAAGGAATAGATTTTAGTGACTTTAAAATCAGATCCTTAGCTTTACAAACTGTATAGGCATGATTCAAGAACTATAAACTCCATATGACACATGTTATGTGTGAAAGACAATTTGCATGCAAAAAAAGTTAAGAAAATGTATTTAAATATATCTGAAGGAAGGCTTTTACAGTTGATATTTGGGAAAATAAGGTTCGGTACTGACAATAAAGTGAGATGAGCAGAAAACATTTTAAAATATAACTATACGCTGTTGAATGTGGACAAACTATGGGTAGAAATATGCATACGACCTAAAAGTCTAATTTAGCAGCAGGACTATTTGAGTGTCACTGCTGTATCCCACAAAAAGCAGCATTATAAAAGCATTTTGTTGTTTTTGCTCACATATTCATTAATTTGATCCTCACAATTACCAGCAAAGTGGATAAAGCACAGGTTATCCTTATTTTCACTGAGCTCTAGCTAGGTTAAGTGAATTGGAATACAGAAGCCATCGATTGGCAGAAGTCCTGCTTTTCCCACTATGCACAGAAAGTAGTCATTAGGTAAAAAAACACTACTCGGGGAAAAAAAAGCACACTATACAAGTTAAGCGTATCCATCATGGATATAAACAAAAACAATATGCAAAAAGTCCATGCTAAAGAAAAAAAGAAAAAAAAAAAAACAAAACACCGGGCGCGGTAGCTACGCCTGTAATCCCAGCTACTTGGGAGCCTGGGCAGGAGAATCGCTTGAACCCAGGAGGCAGAGGTTGCAGTGAGCTGAGATCGCGCCGCTGCACTCCAGGCTGGAGACACAGCAAGACTCCGTCTCAAAAAAAAAAAAAAAAAAAAAAAAAAAAAAAAAAAAAAAGCACAATAGGAAACGTTAAAGTTTCATTCATTCAATCTATTCAAACATTTTATAGGCTTCCTGGCCATTTTCCTGGGAAACAGGGTCAGTTTTCAAATATCTGTACAAACTAGACTTATACATTTGGGAATTTAAACAAGAACTAAAGATTTACTATATATACTAAAACTGATTGAAAAACTACGTGGAATGACATACCAGGTGATGTTCCATTCACTCTAGTCCCCGTTCCAGCAGGAAGACGTTTATTTGCAGACAATGCCGAAGGAACACAGGGCAAATTATCTTTCAGCAAAACCAAACGATCTCCATGATTTTGAGAAACTACCTCACGAAGTCTCTTTGCTGGCATCTTAACTCTTTTTTTCTTCTGCAGGCTAACCTCAGAGCCTTTCATATTGTTGGTCACAAAACTAGTTCCACACTTACGGAGGGAAAAACTTTCTCTGTGTCCTTAAGATTTCAGAACAAAATTTTCACCTCTTTGCAATGAACTGTTTTTACAAGGTCGAAACAGAACATCCACAAAGTTGAAAATCTAAATTTTGGTATTGAATCCAGAATTAGAAACGACTATAAAGTCCTGTTTACCCATTAATCCCACTCAGACTATTAATACACGCCAAAACGTGAACGTGGAGATGACAGGAGAATGGCCGCAGGAGCAACAATACCCCTAACAGTGCACTCCGCAACCCCAGAGCCGGTAGGGCAAAACCAGATGTGGAGGCGGGATTAAAATTTGTTGAGAAGAGGCATGACCCACGTAAAAAGCGTAATAGCTTTCTTCAGCCACAGCTTTACACACCCCTTCCATGCAATCGTCGGAAAGCTAAATTCACCCCTACGCGTCTCCAGGACTTCCGAAACCCGCGCCGTCACCGGTGTAATCTGACAACAGCTTCAGTTGCCCGGGGGTCACAACCCACTTCCCTCCAAACCCGCCTTTGAGACACAACACGCATGCGCGCCAAAAAAAAAAAAAAAAAAAACACCTCCAAAATATCCAACCGGAAAGCTAAGCGCTCTCTGGTGCTCTTCCATCCCTCTCCGGGTGGAAACAAACTCCGGACACAATGGGGTTGCATTTATTTATTTATTTATTTTAAGGACGCACATTGCCGCACATGACCGCGCTACAGTCTCATCCAAGACTTGAAGAGCTCCCGATTGTAATCCTACTCGTGTTTATCAGGGACTGTTTACACTGTTTAGCTTCCGAAGACCGTTAGGGAGGTGGGATTAGGTAAATTAGGCTTCTAAAGAGTTTCGACAGATTCGGGTCGTTATTGAAGAGGAAGTCAGGAATACAAACCGTTGTCTAAGCAGACAATCACAGAGTTTACTCTTTAGGCGATTTTAGAATTGGCTGGTGGTACCATCTTTTTCTTCCAGATTTTTTCACATTATAACGAATCGGCGTCTAAGGGTTTAAGTGTCACTTGACATCATCTGTCCCACGTGTTCTTTCCCATCTGGCGGCCGCGGCGCCGGTCCTGTACCCGACCCTCCTTCCCGAGGCTCAGCCGTCCCCCAGCACCCTCTAGTCTTGTACTGATGTCGGATGCGAGAGCCTGTGCTTAAGTATGGTGTCTTCTCTGCCGTGAGAATCCGGGGTTCCCTGGCGGGAGGTGGCAGGTTACGCTCCAGAAAGGTGGCGGGGTCTCCGGAGGAGGCCGCCGCATGTACTTGGGGCAAGTGGGGTGCGAAGTGGGGGGGGGGGGGGCGAAGCCGGACAGCGCTTCCCCCGGTCGTGTTCAGACCTTCCTGGGGATAGTGCCACCAGGGCGATGGTAGGAACTTTAGGCCCTGAGCCGCCCCCAACCCGGCTTTGGGGAGTCGGGGTCTTGTTTTGGGACACTGAAATTAGACTATAAGGTATTGACACCATGACCTTGAGCTGCCCAGGGGAAGATCCTTTCAGTAAAAATCGTCTCTAGACATAACGCCAGGGGTAACACCCCTCCCCTGATCTGCTCATTTCCTAGGACGCGCTATTAGAGCTTTCCCTTTACACCTTACAAGAGGCTTTAGAATAATCAAAGCAAAAAAAATGTGATCCTATCTAAAGCTAACGAATTTTATTTATTTTACATCTCGGCGGTCTACTTTCATAGGAGTCTAGACTTAAAATTGACTTTAGGGGCTCACCGTTAAAGAACCTCTTTTTTTTTTTTTTTTTTTTTTTTTTTTTGGTACCTTGCCGAGTTTCTCTAATTAATGATCATTTTATTTTCTTTACATTTTCCCTTCGTAATTGGGCTCATAGGTGGTACCTGTTCACAATTTTATTGTATATTATGAGTATATTGAAAGAACTACAATGTCAGAGCTGCCAGAGACCTTTGAGACAGTTTAACTGTTACTTTCTTTCTTTCTTTTTTTTTTTTTTTTTTTTTGAGACGGAGTTTCGCTTTTGTTACCCAGGCTGGAGTGCAATGGCATGATCTCCGCTCACCACAACCTCCGCCTCCTGGGTTCAAGCAATTCTCCTGCCTCAGCCTCCCGAGTAGCTGGGACTACAGGCGTGCGCCACCATACCCAGCTAATTTTTGTATTTTTAGTAGAGACGGGGTTTCACCATGTTGACCAGAATGGTCTCGATCTCTTGACTTCGTGATCCACCCGCCTCGGCCTCCCAAAGTGCTGGGATTACAGGCATGAGCCACCGCGCCCGGCCTAGTTTAACTCTTACTTTCTAGGTGAAACTTACGTGAAAGAAACAGACCTTAGGTCACTAAGGTCTGATTGTAGGCACTCCAAATTATTAAAATGGCAAATAAATAACTTAATTTGGGTCTTAGAACTCCTTTGTCATGACTCTTTATTTCCTTTCTTTAGAGCCTCTGTTGTGAAGTAATCACAGCTCACTGCAGCCTTGAACTTCTGAGCTCAGGCAATCCTGTCTCAGCCTCCTGAGTAGCTAGGACTACAAGCACTTGCCACCATGCCGGCTAATTTTTTTCACTTTTTTGTACAGACTAGGTCTTGCCTTGTTGCCCAGGCTTATTTGAAAAGACCAGCCAGGCTGTCTCACAAATTGTTCCGTGTTATAGATTTTCTTAATTATTGCCTCATGATCAGAGCCATATGAAACTTTTGTCCAGAATACCACACAGGTGTTGCTGTCTTACTGCATCCCATCAAGAAACACCTAAGGCCGGGCGCAGTGGCTCAAGCCTGTAATCCCAGCACTTTGGGAGGCCGAGGCGGGTGGATCACAAGGTCGAGAGATCGAGACCATCCTGGTCAACATGGTGAAACCCCGTCTCTACTAAAAGTGCAAAAAATTAGCTGGGCATGGTGGCGCGTGCCTGTAATCCCAGCTACTCAGGAGGCTGAGGCAGGAGAATTGCCTGAGCCCAGGAGGCGGAGGTTGCGGTGAGCCGAGATCGCGCCATTGCACTCCAGCCTGGGTAACAAGGGCAAAACTCTGTCTCAAAAAAAAAAAAGAAACACCTAAGATTGGCACCCATGTTTGTGATGCTAGGTTTTATGACTTAGATTATACTTTTTTTTTTTTTTTTGGAGACAGGGTCTCTTTCTATCACACAGCCAAGAGAACGGTGGCATGATCATGGCTCACTGCAGCCTCCACTTTCTGGGCTCAAGTGATCCTCTTGCCTCAGCCTTCTGAGTAGCTGGGACTACAGGTGCACACTACCACGCTGGCTCATTTTTATATTTTTTTGTAGAGATGGGGTTTTGCCATGTTGCCCAAACTGGTCTAGAACTTTTGGGCTCAAGCAGTCCTCCCACCTCAGCCTCCCAAAGCACTGGTATTGAGCTACTGTGCTTGGTCAGTCACTTAGCTTATAACATATGTTGGGCTATTTGGAAAATATTTTTAGGTAGATGATATATGTTATAATAGCTTATAAGACATTTTATAAGTGCAATGGGGAAAAATACTAGATTTTGAAGTCCAGACACTTTAGGTTCTATCTGTATAAATGACCTCATGTAAGTTTCTTAAGATTTCTGAACCATCCCTCCCAGAATTATTAGGAAAATCATAAGGGAAGTATAATGTATACTTATACTTGGACAAATAAGGATAGCATGACATTAACTATTTTTTTTTAATAGTAACAAATATGCCAAAGAATTGTAACTTCAGAATAGAGGAAACTAACTTCATTTACTAAAAAGGGTGAAACTTAAAAAAAAAATAGCCAACAGAAGTTTACATTTCACTGAAAACACTATTAGAACTTGAAGGTGACTAAGTAATCATATTATAACACCCTCATTTTTCAGGTAAGAAATCAGGCCTTACTGGAGACATTCAAGCAGTTTGGACAACTACTTTTCCAAAACAGAAAGGAAACTCATGCATCAGAAAAGGTTTGAGCTGATGACTGATAAGATCTCCCTTTATTCTTAAGTTCTCTGGTTCTATGATATATTTTGTTTGCCGCAAGATTAGCGGCGGCATCCTAATCATCGCCAAGATCTAGGCTACTGATTCTTAAATTCCCTTATTCTGTCCCTCTCCAGGTTTCAGGGATATAATCAGAAGGTAACCTCTGATGGGTCTTTGCTGCTACAATAACAAACATTTGCTGTAATATCTGGAAATTAGGATCAAATAAAAGGACAACATTACTGCTACCTGTTCTCACCATCAGGTGGTTTATGTGGCTAGTGGAATTTGTCAATCTAATCTTACTGTTAAATAACTGCAAAGAGGCCGGGCATGGTGGCTCATGCCTATAATCCCAGCACTTTGGGAGGCCGAGGCAGGTGGATCACGAGGTCAAGAGATCGTGACCATCCTGGTCAACATGGTGAAACCCCGTCTCTACTAAAAATACAAAAAATTAGCTGGGCATGGTGGTGCGTGCCTGTAATCCCAGCTACTCAGGAAGTTGAGGCAGGAGAATTGCTTGAACCCAGGAGGCAGAGGTTGTGGTGAGCTGAGATCGTGCCATTTCACTCCAGCCTGGGTAACAAGAGTGAAACTCCCTCTCAAAAAAATAACTGCAAAGTGAATAGTGAAAGATTTAGAAGACTGCAAACTAGCAAGTAACTCTGAAAATCATTTATTAAACATCTCCAGTATTTTATCTGAACCAGTTGCCTACAATTATGTATACTGTAATCTTTTCCTTTTTTTTTTTTTTTTTTTTTTTTTTTCTTGAGATAGTCTTGCTCTGTCACCCTGGCTAGAGTGCAGTGGCAAAATCTTGGCTCACTGCAGCCTTTGCCTCCCAGATTCAAGCAATTCTTCGGCCTCAGCCTCCAAAATAGCTGCAAGTACAGGCATATGCCACCTGGCTAATTTTTGTATTTTTTAGTAGAGACGGGGTTTCACCATGTTGGCCAGGCTGGTCTCGAACTCTTGACCTCAAGTGATCCACCTGCTTCAGCCTCCCAAAGTGCTGGGATTACAGGTTTGAGCCACCATGCCTGACCTATACCATAGTCTTGAGAGATACTGGTGACTACAGAGGATAGCTTTAGAGATTTAAGCAGACTTAAGAAAACTGCTGATTGTTAGCTCTTGAGTTTAACCGTAAGTCTGGAAAAAATATTAAAATAAAATATGAAATTGGGCTGAGCACAGTGGCTCATGCCTGTAATCCCAGCACTTTGGGAGGCCGAGGCGGGCGGATTACCTGAAGTCAGGAGTTCAAGACCAACCTGGCCAGCATCATAAAACCCCATCTCTACTAAAAATACAAAAATTAGCCAGGCTTGGTAGTGCATGCCTGTAATCCCAGCTACTCAGGAGGCTGAGGCACGAAAATCACTCGAACCCAGGGGGCAGAAGATGTAGTGAGCTAAGATGGTGCCACTGAATTCCAGCCTGGGCCACAGAGTGAGAGACTCTCAAAAATAAATAAATAAAATAATACACAATCAAGTGATTCTAAAGAAAATAAATCATAATGTTAACATAGTG